CCATGATTTTTGTGTCCTATTCAACGCCCCAGAAATACCAATGTTGCCTGCTGAGCAGTTGATTGAGCATGATCATAAGACATCAGCGCAGTGAACCATTGATAACTTTCGATCCTTGCATTGAATCAAAAAGTGGTCTTAAGCAAAAGAGAGAAAATTCCCTACAAGTACAATTGAAAGTTTTTGAAGCAGACCGATATGGTGAATTATTAGATAGACATGAACAAAAATCTTGGTTTTACCATAGTAATTCCCGTACAAACTTCAAATGGTTTGTGCCATCTCAGTCTCTCACCAAATGGGTTCAAATTTTGAGAGGTTAGTCAGGATCCGATTTGGAATCGTTTAAGTATTGTGGAGCGAAAATTTCAAATGTTGCATCACTCTAATGTATATACTAATAAAATTCCCGGGCATCCATTTAGGGTGTCCCAAAGCTCCAAAAACAGCACGCAGCGAGTTCGCCAGCCGTCACCCCTGCTGCGCTTGAACATTTATGAGTCAACTAAACAAAGGATTCATAATTTAGGGGCCTCATAGCCTACACAGCTTAAAAAAGTAGTGTGAATTTCCGTTACTATGATGCACATAAATGGAGCGTCATATATCATACAAATTTAGATCAAAGATCGTGTAAATTTATGAGACATGTCATGCAATATTCCATACATTGTATGCAACTGTCTACTTTTGTTTGCAACATTTCTTGAAAGCTGCTAGTTTACGTGAAAAGGAAGTTTACATGTATGAATGTTTGCATGCATGGATGTTTACATCGCCAGTAAAATTCAGAATGTTTTGGTGTGTAGTCAGTAAAGGCACGGTATTACCAATCCGGAGGCGGACGGGTTCGTTTCCCGGTCCGGTCGAGGGAATCTTTCGAGTTGGAAATGTCTCGACTTCCCTGGGCATATAGTATCATTGTGCTGCCACACAATATCACATTTCATTACAGCAATTTTCGAAATCATCATCAACGACGCATTATTCTCTAGCTGCAGAAATTACATTTCGCCTGACCAACACGGTTTTTATCCCAAAAGATCAGTTTCAACAAATCTAGCTCCGTTCATTTCTTTATGTCTTCGGAGTATGGAAGCTGGGGCGCAGGTGGACGTTGTATATATATAGACCTTAAGGCTACATTCGACCGGGTTGACCACTCCATACTGCTAGCTAAACTTGAAAAACTCGGTGTATCCTCGGGTTTAACTCGTTGGTTCAAGTCCTATCTGACCAATCGGGAACTTTGTGTTAGAATTCAGATCAGAGCAATCGGACTATTTTACAAACAGCTCCGGTGTTCCTCAAGGTAGCAACTTGGGACCATTGCTATTCTCGATTTTTGTGAATGAGGCCGGACTGATCCTCCCAACTGGTTGCCGATCGTTCTACGCGGATGATGTGAAGATCTATGTGATTGTTCGTAGCTTCGCCGATTGCTTGCGGCTTCAGCACCTAATCGATACCTTCGAAGAGTGGTGCTCAAGAAACTATCTCACGTTGAATGTACAAAAATGTAATATTATCTCATTTCATCGCAAGCTGAAACCAGTGGCATTCAACTATACGATAAATCACCAACTTCTGCAACGTGTGGACAATGTGACCTAGGAATCACGCTGGACTGCGCCTTAACATTCAAGGATCATTACTCGGGCAGCGTTGCGAAAGCTAACAGGCAACTCGGGTTCATTTTCAAGATCGCTGACGAGTTTCGCGATCCTGCCTGTCTAAAAGCTCTATACTGCTCTCTAGTGCGATCGATCTTGGCATTCAGCTCGGTAGCATGGTGCCCGTATCAAGCAGTTTGGATAGCGAGGATTGAATCCGTTCAAAGGAAATTTGTTCGGTATGCCTTTCGTCACCTTCCTTGGAATGACCCTGTGAACCTTCCACCGTATGAAGATCGTTGTCAACTCCTGGGTCTTGAAACACTAAAACATAGGCGGACGATTAGTCAGGCCGTGTTCGCAGCGAAAGTACTTACTACGCACCCGAACGAGTTTTTCGGTCGAGGAGTTTTCTGTATCTTGGACGTCGTGCTGCGAACTACAGCTTGCATGACCCAATACGGTTCATGTCTGGGCGTTTCAACGAGTTTTACGAGTTTTTCGACTTTAACTGTGCAGCGGAAACCTTTCGTCACCGTATTAAACGCAGACTCCTGAGAAGGAGTCACTATGTCACACGTGAAGGATTGTGCTACCTGTTTATTTTTGTGTGTTTCCGGTTCAACTGCATGACGAGGATTTCTACCTGATTCACGGACAACTCTATGCCATAGGAAGATAATTTTTTTTATGCTATAGACTTGATTAATGTTCGTTGTAATTGTATTGTATTATTGTGATTCATGTATTTCGAAAATATATGGGGTTTTGACGCTTTTTCTAGGCTTTTCCCTATCAGGCTTCATTTAGACACGTTAAGTCCGATGAAGAAAAACAAATAAAATACAATAAAATAAAATAACATATGCGGAACTTCCTTCAAAATAACTGACTCAAAGTTGACTCCTTTTTTGTATTGCCTCAGTGGTATAACTGGCATAGATGGACATCGATTTGCCAAATTAAAATTTTCGTGATATGGACACTTTTTTTTCCTTCCTTTATTTAGAAGATTTTAAGCCGTAGGCTAGTTCATCTCCGTTGATATGGACACTGAGCGTTCATAAGTATCAATGTCGAAAACATAAATAATGAATTCGTTCGTAAATTTCTCGTATGTCAAAATCAATCCATGTAAGCCACCAATTTTATCGGATAAGAGGCCTCTTCCTCTACACAATCATCGTGGTGGCTTATTTGAGTGAGTTTTTATTTTCGAGAAATTTACGAATTGTGCCTGGAATCTAACGGACTTTGTCACCATGGCAGTCTTTTCACGCAAAGTTTGACAGAATCTTAAGGGATTTTCATAGGAATGAAAGGGTAAGGAAATGTTCACCATGTTTTACGCACAGATTGATGTTTGCTTATGGGATTTTATCATAGGAGCAAGTAGTTACAGAGTGACCGAAAAGGCGAACTGTCAATAGTCAATATAATTCACAACGAGATGTTAACAATTGAGGCCCAGATAATTTTTCATCTTTTTTGTTCCTCCGCTGTTCAAATGCTTGACGGAGTTTGACGTGTGGGCATTCTTTCTTCGACTAGCTTGACAGGGGGCTTTCCAAATGATTTTTCAACTAGTATTTTTAAGTCAGTCAGAAGCCAAAGCGTTGTTATCCAGTATTGCCTATTTACAGATGTCATATTTCTTCGTCTCTTCGATCTAATTGCATTGGATCGATTGCGGAAATTATTTTAATTGAATGGAATTTAATGCAAATAACTCGAAGGTTTGATGATTACGTTGAATAGGTAATTGAGAAACATAGGGAGTCTTGAAATCATGGGTATTACAGGTATCGATAAGCGCTCGATTTCATTGCAAAATTCTTGCGAATGGAGTCTGCATATTTTTCATATAAACCTTGAACACTTGTTGCAAAATTTCGGTGCTTCTCTCTGGACTTCAAAATGTAAACATCTTCTTGTTCGCATTTCAAGCTTATTGCTTAGCGCATATTAGCTTATTGCGTGCTCTCAACTTAGTGTTCCTAAATGCACTTCCACAGTTATTATTGAGAGCTTTCGATGCCAATACCAATGCATGAATTTGTATATTGTGTGGCAAACACAGTGATACTCTATGCCCAGGGAAGTCGAGAAAATTTCCAACCCGAAAGATTCCCTCGACCGGACCGGGAATCGAACCTGCCGCCTCCAGCTTGGTTATACCGTGCATTTACTGACTAGGCTACAGAATCATTCATACCGAATACATGTGAGAAATTTTCATCTGTCGATTTATGTGTTTCTGCAAATTTCTAGTACATAATTTAATTCCTTTATTTTTTGTCTATCTTTATACGTTTTGGTTTTTCATTTCCCCCCGTCTCGATGAGTCACATCGTCGCCTACTGGTCGCCACTCGAGACGAGTCTAGAACTGCACTACAGTTCATACTGGCGACAACGTTCTGATGATACAACGAAACCCCACCCCCAAGCTCCTTCCCTGATCGTATCCTTCGACAATGTACCCCTCAAACCTCAGGTAAGCCGCGAGTATTCGGCCCAACTCCTACTAGACATAAACGTAAGTGAATTTTGTCACAAAAAATAGTCCATTCATTATCGGCTCCGTAAAGCTAACGCGATTGAGCCTTCCAAATAAACGATCTTTATAAAAAAAAGCTTTTATATATAAAACCTAGCGTGGGTTAACAGCATCATCAGCAGAGGAAACTATCCGGGGTTCCCGAAGATTTGGTCGCAAAAGCTGATGTGCTCTTTTCTGTTGTTGGTCGTGATATGCTCGATGGGTTCCGCTATTTGACAGCTCAATTAGTTCCCGAGATTCTAATCGCCAGACTATAAATAGTAGAAGCAGCCTGTACAAATATGTTTGTCTAACGCATTACCACGTGTCTGTTTTAAAATCAGCTCCTCGTTGTTTTCAATTGATTTAATTAAATTTGATAAAAATCAATTCTTCACATTGTTAAATTGTCTAAGCTTTACGAAAACGAAAATGTGCAAATTCAGCAGCGGCAACTCTGATGTCGCTTGATTCAAAACCCCAACGCACTTAAATGAGTACTCGCCACCAGCTGGTTCACGCTTTCGAAAAAAAGTGCCCTTCCAAGATCTTTCTCTCCGAGTCAATCGGTGATAGATCATAAAGTTTATTGTTTTACTTTTCTAACCGTCACCGTATCCCCTTTACGACTTTCACCTTTTCGCCCTCCACCACCGTTCTAAATCCAAACAATTGTCCCATGACTGCCAGCGAAGTACCTTCATCCTACTCTTTGCACCCGTCACACATTGATAGAAAAGACAAAGAAACCTTTCCGCACACTGCACCCCCTCCCCCCCCACCCAACACAATCGCTCACGATTTGAATAAAATCACTTTTATTGACTGAGTGGCAATGGCCCTTACCCGTATCATGTGATGCTTCCGCACAAACTGGTCCAGCTTGAACATCTTGCACCAGCGCAGATTATCGTCCCCCATCGGTATCTCGACGTCTTTATTGCGCAGCTCCAGGGTGCGGGTTCGCGAGTCCAGCTCGATCGGAACCTGGTTGACCCGCTGGGTGAGGAAGATGGGCACCGAGTCCTTGAAGGCCTCGTTCGGATCCGGCAGCGTCCCGATGGCCTGGGCTCCATTCTTCGGGTCCCGGTTGTGGTACATGTAGATGATCCGGATGGTGTCGTTCTGCAATGGAAAAGAAAAAAACGGGAAAAGCGATGATTAAGCGGGTGATTAAGTGGATTGGTCGTGAAAAATCAAAATAATTGGATGGGTTATGTTTAAACCATGCTTAGACTTCAAGTACCATCTACATGTCGTCTCGTTGCCGTCGTCATCATCAGTCGGAATAACGGCGCTTGAATACATTACAGACGATTTACTCCCGTGCCCAGAGACCAGGCTGCTGTCGAGGCACTTATTCCTTTCCAATTATCAGCTTATTCAAATGTAAATTTATTTAAATCTCTTCCTCTTGGCGAGTTGCAGCAGCAGTGGCAGAGTGGTATGCTCACTGCATGTGCAACTGGACTGTAAATACTAGATGATAGACAAGCCATCATCCTTCCGGTGAACTGAGCTTGCAATCGATGAAGCGTTTCCAAAGGGAGGGTGGCTCCAAACTTCACTCCACCCACTACTTTCCAAATTTATAGAGAACCACCCTGTGGAGGAGGTCAGCAATGACCCTCGAAAACTTTTCCCCCACTCTTCAGATTAGCTCCGGCTCTCGTAGTAAATCGTTCTGGGACCTCTGGAGCGAACTCCATTCTCCATTACTTCCACAACTGCCGGCAGAGATTTATCGTAACTCCTTAAACAGCTGTACTGTGCCCATTTTTCCTCCCCTCCTGATTCCGAATTCACATGCACGCTCTGGTAAAATCTGGCGAACCAAGCGAGGTATAGCGGGAGAGAGAAAGACATAGCACACATAGTACAAGCGAGTAGCTGAGGCGGTCTCTGGAGGCCCGGCTGTTGTGCCGGGCGCGCTATAAGCGTTTTATAATTTAAATTTGCATTCATAACAGCGCAATTTTGATATTTGCATAAATTCATCACTTTCCTGAGCCGGTTCCTCCGTCTTCTGTCGCTCTAGCACGCTGTTTGCGAGCACGTTAGAGCGGTGGACGATTTGGGAGATGAATCCTACTTCCCAGCCAATTTGAAACCGGCGATGTGGAGGGGGATGGGTACTAGTTTTGGGCAGTTGTGGCACAGGCATGGGAAACTGGCCGCAGAAGGATGTAAATTATAAGAAGTGTTTTGATAACGTGGGGAAGGGTGAGATTGTAATGGAATGATTGGAACAGTTGGTTCGAGGTGGACTTTCGGTTGGGCGGAGTACGAGAAAACCAAAAAACAATTACGTTTTTAAAAACTAGCGTGTGGGAAGCTTTTTCCCAATATAGTCATCCGAATGCTTTCATGGTTGAAAGCTCCAGCTTGGATTAACTTTTAAAACCAGAAGAACTTCCAAGATATTTTCAAGGATCGTATTGATTAATATCAACGTCGATATAACAGCAGATCGACATTCGTGATTGGGATTTAATCCGAGGATTAAATCTGGAGCTAACCACCAAAAGTGTCGCAAACAAATTCCAATGATTCTTAAGTTAAGTTCAAAATGTCAATCTGTCCATCTGTTTAAAGGATAAAGTCACCTTTTAAAGATTTACATGATGAATCGTGTTAGAAAATTTCCAGGCTAAATAGCAAATTTAAAATTCAATTTCAGACTCAACTTTCTCCGATTTGCATGAAGCTTTGCATAATTGGCCGAATTTTATCTCAAATGTGAATGATTGACCATAACAAACAATTATGCAAAGTTTCATGCAAATCGGAGAAGGTTGCACCAGATCGATTCGTTATTTGGCGTGGCATTGCTCAATAGCGATAATTTCCGAGCAGCATCGTCAACTCCCGTCACTAAGGATTCCCCAAGCCAGGCGAAAATAATATGCTTATCTCGACATTCCGGCCATTTAGAAAGTTACTGTCTTCGGCAAAGTTGTTCCGATCACTAAAGCCATATGACATGGTCAGTAGAATGAAAAGTTTAGTTCAGAATTATGCCACTACGAGCCGCTAGTTTGAATGTGAAATTTGAAAATGTGCTAGGGTTACTGATCTTCACATCGTACGACTCAAAATCACTCTTCTACTCCGAACGCTTTCGAAAGAACGAAGCAAAGCAAGTATTCTCAAGCGATGCAAACGATGCTTTGATTCGAGGCTCTGTGAGTGACCAGTGAGCGAGGATTATTCCTGCTGTTCTTAAGCTGGGTTTAGACAGGGCAAGTCAATTGATCAAGTCAGTTGAATTCAACTGACTTGAACTCGAATTGAACGTGTAAACCATGCAATTCAGCTGACTTGATCAACTCACTTAAATTGAAAAAAATTGAACCAGGCTCAACTTTTCAAGCTAATTGAATTCAACTGAGTTGATCATTTGACTTGCCTAGTCTAAACCCAGCTTTACAGCCTCGTTCAATTTGCATCGTCCTTATGAATTGATGTGATCGGATACGAATGAAGTTGCGTGCGATACAAAACGATGCGAAGCGATTCGCGACGAATATTCGCCGCGAATGCTGTGTGGGAATGTTAACTGTAAAATGTTGAAAAAAAAAAGCTAAGTGCCACATTAATAAAACGACATGACTATTCATTGTTGCTTTTCTCTTCAGTTCCAGTAGCTTACGCATTGCTGTGAAGCATTCGTTGTGAATATTATTCGGGTGCAAATCGAATCGCTGTCGAATGCATCACCCGAGTCTTCGAGCAGAAGTAAGCAGCTGGTGAGTGACGGATGTTTGATGGAAAAATAAAGTCACTCAGCGAATGATAGCGAAGAGGAGAGGGAGCAAAAAACCGGAAAAAAAACGAACCATTCGTGCAGCACTGTATTCGTGCATAACTAGCGCAACGTTTACTATGATAGCATCAAATCGCTGATGAGCAGCAGACAATGCGATGCATGATTCGTTGCGAATATCTGCAACCTTGGTGCTAGGAGATTCCGATGAACCCTGCAAGGGAACTCAGAGGAGTGTTTCAAGATAATTCTATGAAAATTACAAGAGACAGGGGATATTTTGAGAAGAATTTCAATGAAATTTAGAGGTGATTCTTATGTAATTCTGCGGTGCAATCCAAGGAAATGTTGGGAGAATTCCGAGGAATATTCCAAGCGAATGGTATAGAAAATTACTAAGAAATTAAAGAAAATGAAGATGAATGTAGACTCTTGCAGATTTTACCCATAAAATTTCCCATCGTTCTGCTGCATTTGATTGATAATAGCACATAATTAAATGCAGTTGTGTACCAAAAAATAACATCATTTTAGAGAATTCGAAAAATTGCAACTAACAAATTGGACACAGAAGATGCCATAGCAATTTTTTTCTTATAGTTTTGACCCTTGGGAATTAGCGAAAAATATAAAAGGGTGAGGTTCCACTGAAATTTAAAGAACTGCTATGAAAAATGGACTTTTTTTTTAAATCTCGTCGGGGTGACCTCTAAGCAACATTCCTTAAGTTGCTGCCATACAAAAGTTTGTTTGTTACACCCTTAGCTATCATTTAGACGGTGAGCTCCCAGATTAAAAGACATAGTGCAATTTTGGGATACCGTAATTTAGAGTGTATTTTAAGCATTTTTTGGAGATAATTCTTCAAGTAGTCTGCATTGAATTCCGAGACTGTTATGGAGTAAATTTCTAATAAATACCGGACAGAATCATAAGATTTTTAAGAGTAATCCTGAAAGTAAAAGTAATTCTAAATACAATTTAGAATGATCCGAAGGGAATCATTGAGATATTGGAAAAGGTATACTTCGAAAATTCCATAAGAAAAAAAATAAGTGGATAGGGAAATTTACGTATTCTCGGCAACCTAAGCAGCGACCTTCTTTCTATAGCCTTTTTCTCTATAGAACGCACACATATGCAGTATTGGTTTGTTTACAAACATTTGCTGCCAGCTGCTCTAACAATTTCAGTCGAAAGAATTGTCAAAAACTGTTTTGAAACGCTTTTACAAAGCTCCAATCTTCTCTAGTGAGAGCGAGTATTGTCGGCAACCAGTTTTTCTTCGGCAACCGTTCCATTTGAACTGCATGTAAATCTGCTGTTCTATTATCGGCAACTCGAAATCAGCTACAATTTGTAGTGCGTGTGTTTCATTTCAAGAAAACCCTGCTAGATTGCTTTTTCTCAGTGGTAAAAATATAGTCAAATTGAAGCTGAAAGCATAAAGAATCGTTTGCATGCATTCAGCGAAGTGTTTTCGTAAGAAAATCCAGTGAAAATAGTATTTCAATTTGGGTTGCCGAAAATAGTCTGTCATGCCGAAGCCGTCATTTCCCCTATACAAATTTAAAAACCAAAAAACAAATTCCAAGTTTCGTACGCAGAAATACAACATCCAGGGATAACAATTTTTTTCGAGATTCTTTGACTTTAGTTGGGAACAACTTTCATAATCCAGATCTTAGGAAACTGTTCATGATTATCGGACTATAATTTTAAGAAAAGTGTAGCAATAATAAATGTGTGATCTCAAGCTTGAAAATATTTGAACTTTTATTCCTAGCAATGAAGACATGTTACAGATTCTGCTACGTGAAAAGCTGCCAATATTCTAAAATAAACATTTATTCAAAATGTCAGACTCTAGGAATTGGTTTTTTTTTTGTATTCAGTACTATTGATAGGTAGAAAAATATTGGCTTCAATAATTAATCAAGTTTTGAAGAGAAATATTAGAGATACCGGACTTATATAATTATCAGCAGAATTCGATTAAGGTACAAACCATTTTTTTTTCAAAGTTCCAATAAAATTCCCGGTATTTCCCAGTTGTTTACCGGTTAATTCCCTTATCCATCAGTTTTCCCAGTTTACTAGCCACTCTGGATTTTTTAATTCAATTGTAAGTCCCTTCTTTTAATCATATTCTACACACAAACAATGCTTCCTAAACCCCAACCTAACAGGTTTTCCAGCCCTTTCTCAAATTGGGGCGTGGCATAGGATGCATGTTTTGTGTTAAGTATACTTAAATTTTTGAACACACACGGAGATTTTTACAAAGAAGTTTTGCTGCCCGAAATCCTTCCTACCTGTTCACACGGGCTACAATTGCCGGCAACAAAATTATCCTTAA